ACATCAGTAATTCAGGCTGAAAGATGATATTGGATAAAACCCTGAAAGATAGGGGCTCCAGGATTCCTCTTTCTGTACCCACCCACCCCGATCTACTCAGCACACGGTCCTTTCACTAATAAATACCATTGTCTGAGAATCTCTTGTGTTCCACGCATGTTGATAGGGGCTTTATGTGGGGTATTATCTTAATTCCACAACAGCCCTATGGGGAAGGTATTATTGTACCCATTTTGTAGATTAGAAAACTGAGAATGAGCTAAGTTAATTTCTGTCCAAGTTTACACGATTAACAATGGCAAAACTGGAACTTATACTCAGGTCTGGTAAGTCCAAAGCCAGCCTATGTTATATCTGTTCTGCTGTGTGGTCTTCCTCATTGTTGCCTTTGTTTTCATTTATCAGACATTCAGAGAGTGCCTACAGTGGGTTCTGAACTTTCACAAGGATCAATGAGACAGAGAGAGGAGCCCTCCAGCAGCTCACAGTCTAAATCGATGCCACAAGTGTGATGGTAAAGATGTTCTCGGGGCCCCAGAGGCAAAGGCTGTAATCTACCTGGAGAGGATGGAGATTTCAGAGAAGAGGTAAGATTGACCGTTCCAAGGAGAAAAACTTGGGAGTCGGGGTAGGGAGCAGTAAGAGGGAGAATTTCCATTAGGCACCCTTTTGGGTCCCAGTTGGGCAACACCAGGCATGTGGTCTTGGTGACTAATGGGCTCCTAGTGAAGACTGATCACTGCACTCCCAGCTGCCCATGGCCACCACCATCCCACAGCACACTCCAAGCAGCCCTTGGTTTCAGGCCAGCACGGCCAGGTGTCAGGACTTGGGTCGGAATAAACTCTTCACACGAGTAAGTGCCCATAATGAGGATGTGGCCAAGGCCACTGAGAGATGACTGGAATAAGACCTGAGCCATGGGCCAGTCCTTTTACTCTCCCAGGAGGAACTCATCTGTAAGAGTTTCCCATCAGGTAGAGGAGGGCTGGCTCTAAAGGCAGGGGAGTAATGTAGAGCCATGGTCTCAAGGTGTGGTACCAGATCGGCAGCAGCAGCAGCAGCAGCACCTGGAAATTTGTTAGAAATACAAATTCTCAGGATCCATTCCAGATCTACTGAGTCAGACACTCTGTGTCCATTTTTAATCTGTGGAGAAATTCCAGCCTATAAACTCTATTTCTTTCCCTAAAAGATACATGGGAACTTGAAGGGCTTACTGGAGTTGGTCATTCAATCCTTATGTGGGCCTATTCCCCTGGCCCCACTTTCTCCAGGACCAGCCTAGCCCACCTGTTGAGAACCACAAATTCTCAGGGAAGCTACTGCATGGCATGGAACAATTTGAAAAAGAACAAAAGAAAAACTGCTGGGTGTATTTACATGTGAAGTAACAGGCTGTGTGTCTGGGGGAGAAGCTGGAAGGAGGTGAGTGAGCCCCTGATCTCGAAAGCAAAGGCAGAGAGAAGGGGTACCCTGGAGCAGAGGCTAGAAGACCACTTATGAATGGTGCCACAAGAGCATGATCATGATCTAGGCATTGCCATAGGTGCCAGGAGGAGGGGCAGGAGACAGAAAATACAGGAACTCCTGACAAGGGAGCAGTTAGACCAGAGCACCTTCACTTTGCACACTATTGATGGAGCATCTGTGCCAGGCACTATGAAAGCAGAGAGACAATTCAGAGGAGTGTTGAGGATGCAGATGGTGCAGCAGGACTGCCTGGGTTCGAATGCCCACTTGGGGTGATGCTCAGTCAGGGGGACCTGTAGAGCCACGCCAGCTTTGTTTACAGGTAGCGTCTGTTCTGAGGGGTCACAGCCATGGCTCTGATTGGCCGGTGTCTGGATCATCCTCGTTGTTCCATCTTGTGAATGCCAGCTGTGTTGTCACTTACTGCAGAGTTGGACTCAAGTTATTAAGCCTGTCTATACCTCGATCTCCTCTGTAGAGTAGGAGCAGTAACACTACCTCCCTCAAGTGCTATGAGGATTAAATGAGTGAACAGAAGGACTATGGTTAAATTGATGCCTGGTACATGAATTCTCAACAAACATTAGCTGTGATAATTCTTCTCTCCCAAAGTATGAACAGCACCTGAGCAAAGGCCAGCTTTTCTCAGAGTTAAAAATGTCCAGAGTGGCCTGAGTTGGCTAAAAGCAGAAGCTGACTTCTCATAGGATTTAATTCCAGGGCTCAACACCCACCATCAGCTCAGAGCAGAGGGAGGCTGCTGGATGGCTACAGCTAGTGGGGTGGGGACATGACACCAGCCACAACACAGCCACTGCACACACACAGAAAACCTTGCTCTCCTCCAGAACATGCAGCTGTTCTGGCCCAAATGCTGGAATAGACCCTCGGCGTCCATTCAAATGTGGAGAAATATTTATATCCAATCAAAACTACTCCAGATTGTTGGCTCTTATTTTAGATAAACAGGATAAGCAAACTCTGCCTAAATAAGAACTTGTAATAAATATTCTCTTTTCCTGTCTTTCTAATTCTTTGGAGTCAAATGCTCCAAGTAGAAGTGTCTCACAGGGAATGTCTGAAGGATTTCTGGAGGTTTTATTTGGTTAACAGCAAAAATTCTTTATAGCATACAGACCTTTCCCATATGTGCAATTCTCACAATATGGCTGAGAGGACAGTAGGTCATTTGGCCTTACTGTTATCCTAGAGACTTAGAAACCAAGGCCCAGTGAGGGCAGATGGTTAGTCTTGAGGCTCATGGACATTTCTGGTGGACAAAAGAGCATGAAACCATCACTCTAGAAATAGAAAACCTCTGCTGTCCATTGGCCAATGGGAGCCATTTTTCACAGCACTGTTTCCTAAACCACTCACCCACCACAGATTATCTTGAAGATGCCCACATGCACAGACACCCCCATGCATCAAAGGCAACCACTTGGCTTCAAGAGAGGAAGAGAGTGGCTCATCTTGGCAAAGACTGGGGACCCCTGATCATTCACCTACCACCACCACCTCCCTTCAGTACAAACCACTGAAAGCTGGTTCTGTACACGTGGTCATATCTTCTGGACACACAAGAGGGAGTTAGGTACATATCTCCTACATCCTAAAATAGGCAGTTAGGAATGAGGCAGAATGAGATACTGTCTTTAATATTGAAAAGAACTATATACATCTCTGTAGAGAGACAGTCAACTTCAAATACAAATAGCATAAGATGCAAGTATTAAAATGTGAAAGAAATTGAAGTGGTGACTTGCAACTTTTCCAGCAGACATGGGCAGGAAGACATCACTTGCAACCATGGAGAAACAGATCTATACAAAAATAGCCCATATCATGCCATCGCTACAAACACACCAATGTATCCAATATATTTTGAGGCTTCAAACTACCAAAATAATCTCCGTATCCTTACAGAAGTAAATAAATAAATAAAATGAGCTTCCATTCCATCATGAGAAATCATGAAATCAGCTGAAATGCACTAGTTTTATCCTGTAACACTCTCCTAAATTTAGGCCTAAGAGGC